GGGTCTTTGGTAGGAATTAGTTCCTTAACTGCGCGTATTTTGCTCCGTGCATGATTGTAGCCCGGAGACCCGGTTCGAGCCATGGCAGTAGGGCAAAAGAGCGGATCCGGAGTTGGAGCCAAAGCCAGAGCCAGAGCCGGAGCCAAAGCCAGAGCCAGAGCTGGCTGTCATTGACTGCGGATTGGCGTTGTCAACGATGCAGCGAGCTTGATGACAAAGATGATGATGCAGCCGCTTTCAAAAGCTGCAGCAGACAACTAGGGGAAGGTGGTTAGGGAGCGGTGGCTGGTTGCTGGTGGTTTTGGGGCGGAAGTCGGGCATTCTCATGGCTGGTTATTTATGCGTAATTTCTATGCACACACGCAGGGCCAGCTCAACGGCCCACCAGCCCTAGAGCTCTCGTCCTGGCAAAGGGAAAGCCATCCTGAATGCCAGCCTCTTCAGCACCAGGCCCCCAAGTGGTTGGCTGCGGCTCGGCTTTGCTGTTGCTGAGCTGCGGTGGCCGGAGCTTTAAGGCCCTGCACAATCATCAATCAAAATCAAAAGCCAAAGTACTTTTGACATTAATTTATTCAAAGGGGGATACAAGCACTTTTCAACTGCACAAACACACTCATACGCAGGCAGCAGAAATAGAGAGTTTGCCGCCCACTCACTCACTCTGCATTCATGGTATGACCACTTGGTTATAATAGTTATTTAATTTCGAATCGATGGCATGCAAATTCCTCTTCATATTCGGCTAAAGTAAAAATATTCTAATTAATATTTATGAACGGCAACGACAACGCCAGCGACAGCGGCAACGAAGCGACGACGCGCTTTGCATAAATCAAGAGCATTTGAATAATAAATACGAATTATGCATTTAATTAAGATTTGCCACAAAAATCTACCCTCGGCGGTCCAATGAGTCGGGGAGCGGTGGCAAGTGCAGGGTAAACAACGCTTCTATGATTCCATTTCCATTCCTATTTTTGCCATTTTTCCTCAATATTTTCCCATTGTGTTTCTGGAAATGTGCTAGGATCTGCTGCTGTCCCGCATGGATGTGCCCGTTTTGGGGGACACAAGCGCGATTTTGATTTCCTCGGCTTGCATCAGTCAAAGCAAGCTGCGAAAAAAGCACCGAACGAACGCCGGGCGAATTCAATCTAAATGCAAATGCTTGCGGTGTGCTTTTTGTTTCATCCTTGAGCCGCGACAACAGAAACATCGGCATTGGCAGCATCAGCATCAGCATCGGCAGCTGTAGCAGGAGCAGGAATTCAGGTGAAATCGCAACACAGAAAGCCAATTAAGCGACTCAGACATTAATCGAAGCCCGTTGCAGATATCGAGCGGGGGAGAATCTCTTATAAAAAAAAAACGTATATGCAAGGTAAATGCAATTCACTGTGCTTAATGCTGAAATCGCATTTGGTCAACAGCATTCCGCTCTACGGAAAATGTCCTTTATGCTGGTTTGGCTCTACACAGGAAATATTTTGTGTAATTCTGTTACAAACTGAGAAACTTTTCTTAATAAAAAGTAAAGTTACTTGAAGTTAAAAAGAAGAATCTATAGTTTTAGGAAAATCAAAAATTTTTGTAAAATTAGTTTAAGAAGGGAATTTAAAAGGAACTCTGGCATAAAATCCCCCATTCAAGCATACAAATCCCCCCCATTTCGCTCTGTGTTTTCTATTTGTCCATTCCAATGCAACTAGATGGCCATGTTAATACGTATTTCCAATTGAATTGGAAATGTTCATGCTTGCCGTATAGTTTCTATTGCATTAAGGGCCAATAAAAATTTACAAGCATCTCCTCTCCTGCACAAGAATTTCCCTCTGGGGTGTGTTTGCCTCCGTTTAAGTGTGTGTTTGACATGAGATAAGCTCGTTTTCCCCGGCTTGCTTCATTTGCTTCGTTTACAGAAGCCGAAGAGCTGCGCAAATTGATAAATTATGGCAGAGGCAGACAACGGACCGTGGACCATCGTCGAATTGCCGGCAATTAGCTGGGCGAAGGCAATTAGCATTATGTGATAAGAGGTAACATGGCAATATAACAAGTTTATCACTCGGTGCGCTGGCGGGGTCAAGGAATTCCACGGTGAAATTGAGACGTGGAAGGTCAACGAAAGTCTGCCTCCCAGGGGGAATTCATCTTCATCAGTGTGCGTATGCAAATCAGGAGGAGCACTTTAAGGGCATTAGAATCACAAATATCTAAAGCGGCATCTGCACACTCGAACAAGGGCAACGAAACGAATCTTCGGAAGCCGCGACGTGACAACACGCAAATAAAATCGAAGCCTACTCCCCAGACCCAGACCCAGGCCCAGCCTCCGACTCAGACTCAGACTCTGAGATATTCCGACTCTGAATCCGCATGGAAATAGATACAAAGTAAATATGCTAAGTCGCTCCGCAGGCGAGAGAAAATACATAAATCAGAGCAGGGACAAAATGTGAAATTAAATGCAAACAGTGGCGAAAACGACGACGCGGAAGCATAATTGAACTTTGAGCTGCGCGAACGAGCCGGGGGCGTAGGAATTTTCGTAGCCAGGACCTGCTCCAGACGCTCGCTCTCTGCTCATTAAAGCCAAATGCAATTTACGCCGATAATTTGCAACAATTTGCATACTACGTGCGGATGCAGGCGGGCCCTGGTTGCCGGGTTCGACGTCACCTGCACTCTACGTGCTCCACCTTTTTAATTGCAGGCTTAGCAGGGACGCGCTGGCATTTTGTAAATTTCGTTAATTGGAAAATGTGCCAGCCAGCCCAGGCGGGATTCATTCTAATTTTCGACAATCCCCCCATGTGGCCATGGATCAGGCCGGATTAATTCCGTTGGTAGATAATGGCATTCCAAAATGGCCATCGCCTATAGCGATCTAACTGGTTTATCTTGCAATCTGCGCCAGCATGGAATCTCTTCATTATGCATAAGTCGCACACGGGCAAATGTTTTCCTAGCAATATGATTGTATTTACTCATAATATTTTCCCATTTTCCCCAAAAGCTCTTGGGGCCAAAGCCATTGTTCCAGCAGCGACTACTGGCTGCAGAATTTATTATGCATAAAATTGCAGCAGAAAGTCAAATAAAATATGTATTGAAAGTTTTATTGTTTGGCAGGCGGCAGCAGCAGCATTGCCGTCTCACAAAACTCACATATTTGCACATAGCACACACATTTCATGAGGAACAGCCATTGGCAGCATTTTCGCAGCTCCCGGCATTTGGTTTTTAAATTGAATTCTTTTTTATGCATTTACCTAAATTTCGTTTTTTTTGGTGCTCGCTAGCCGCCCCCTGACTTTGTACGGTGGAGCAGCTTTAGCACGAACGAAGCCATTATTAAACATGGAGCGTAAATTTGGTATATCCTGCTGACTTTTTACTCAGATTCAACAATTTCTAATAGAATTTCCTAAATTGGAACCTTCTAAGGATATTCATTTATCAAAAAAACATGAATAGAAAGCTGATAGATACTTTAACATTTCAGTTTTTTTGGTTTAAAAAAGTATATCCTGCTAGAGTGTTTATAAAGGACATTATCAAGATTGTTAAGTATCATTACTGCAGCTCCTGTTACGGAGGCTCAACTGTATACGCTATGTTTTCATCGCATCGCTTCGTTTCGCTTGGTTTTGTTTCGCCCTGTTCATATTTTCAACTTTGTGCGGGTGTGGCTTGTGCCTTTTATATTTCTACCGGATTTCTATTTGCCTTAATAGACTAAACTCTGGACAGGCTTGCATGTTTGCAGGGGTATACTGTATTCCGTATATGTATATGTTATGCCGTATATGTACGTGCTGGTCCAGGACACGGGTTTTTGCTCGGACCCAGGCGGAGTAGGAGGTTCTTTCACGGCGCTGGCTTTGCAAATATCCTGCGGCGGTGGCGTTTATATGAGCTTACTGCTTTTTCGGGGGACAAAGGGAGGTGCAGTGGATTTTGTGATTTGCTTTTTATGTGGGCCATATGTGCCACTATGTACGGATGTATGTGTGTTCCCTATACGCACATGGGAGTTTTGTTTTGGTTATAAGGCGCCAAGAGGCGCTTAGCGAAATTCATGCAAAGATTTGACCGGATTGTTGCCAAGGTTATGTTCATGTTCCCCCCCAAAAAAACGAGAAAAAAATAAGGGAAACGGATAAAAGGTTGCCTTGAAATTGAAACAGAGAAAGTAGAATTTGTCAATGGAATCCCGGCTTTTGATTTATGGAATTAAGTCAAGTAAAATAAATATAGACATGAAGGGGAATTAAATGAGGCTTTAAAAGTGGGAGTTAAAAGTACACGTTTTTGTGATAATTATTTAATTAAATGCGATACCATTTTATAAATACATTAGAGGTTTTTTGAAATAGTTAAAAAATAGTTGCAAGGAATTTAATTATTTAAATCGATTAAAATGGAAGCAGTTTTCATTAAAATAATCAAAATAATTAAATACGGCTTATTAATAATTTATCACCATATTTCCTAAATATATGATAAAGTGTGTTAATCTTAAACGAATCTCCTTAAGAATGTTTCGCCTTAAATAGTTAATAAGGTAAATAAATAAGCTGATGTGATGTAGAATACTTGAGCAAATTAACACCAAATTAATTGGCGAAACGATAAAATTTTAATTTCATAAAATCGTGAATATTATTAACATTTAAGCTGCCTTGTTATTTCCTAGTAATATTCCTTTAAAATTGCTCTAATTCAATTTACTTTTAATTCTCCCCGAGAAAAAAAAACGAGCAGTAAACGCTACATAAATCTCAGTCGTGGAGCAGCCGTCTTGAAGCATATTTCCCAGAAGTGACCATCAAAACGGCAGCCCACTCGTACATGAAAATTTGAAAGGCAAACAAATCTGTCCCATAAGCAAACCCACTCAAGTTCTGGGCGAGGCCGAGACCAAGGCAAGGATCTATCCTGCGAATGGAGCTGTAAGCCCCGACTTACAGCTACAAATCAGAGGGACTCAGACTCACCCCGGGCTTCTTGCGCTTGCTAATCCAACAGGCGGAGGAACTTTCAAGGCCTCCAACTGGCCACTGGCCACTGGCGACTGGCGACTGGCGAGTTGGCAACTGGGAAAACTGGTAACTTTAATTTATGTTTTCCCTTTATCAACAACTTTTGCTGCTCGCAGCTATTGTTCTAATGCACTGACCCGTATTTGGGAAGATGTCTGCATAAACAATTTGTATCTCGTATCTTGTGGATGCTGCACTTTCACTCGCCCGATGACAATTGTGATAAATTATTGCGCCACGCGACCGAACTGATCAGGGGGGTTCACATATACATATATACCGTTATATATATTGTGATATACCGAGGAACTGTTGCGCCCACTCTGGGAATACACTATGCCACCGAAGCAGGGATACACAGATACTGACCACTACAAATGAAACCGCAGTGTGTTATTGTGTCATTAATTTCGCCTGTTTCTTTGTGAGCTCTGCGTGACCTTTTATGGGTTTTTTCTTTATTTTTTATCTCTTTGGTTTTCCAACTGCTGCTGCCGTTGGTGGTTTTTTGCCGCTTAAAGTGCGAAAACTGACTGGCGCTATTATGCTTGAATTAATTGATGGACAACACGCACACAAACGCACGTTAATGAGCCGGCGTGACGCGTTCAAATTTCCATATGATTTACTTCCTCACTCGTGTTTATCTGTTCTACGCACTTTCCGCACATTCACTTTCCAATTCGAGTGTTGTTTGTTGTTGTTTTTCCCGCACACTTTTCCTTTGCCGCCTACGGCTGTTGTGGCTCCGCCCGTAATCCGCTTTGCCCGAAATTTTAATTTTCCTTTTTTCGCACTGCAGATTTTTTGGGATTCCGCTTCTCCCAGTTTTTCTCGAGTGTTTTGATGACTGGAGTGTGTTATTCGTTTTTTTATTTTCTCTCTTTGTTTTTCCCTACTCGGGGCGAGGGGGCGGGGCACACGCAACCTGACGGATACGGATGCGCAGCATTCGAGAGTCACGCACTAATGGGCCGCCTCTTCTTGTTCTAATTAGCCACATAAATCGCAGGTTGACAAAAAAACATCGCCAGCTAGCTGATTGCTGACTCCGCTGCCAGCTGAAATTTATACCTTCTCGGATGCTGCAGAGGCAAAGCCGAAAGGCAATTCTAAATTCGAATCTCGCGCACGACGAACCAAACGCTGCGAGCCACGAACAAGAACGGACAAGACTAAACACGAGACCAACGAGCTGGTTCCCCGGTCGGCTACGTGTTCAACTCGGCAACATCGAGCAACACGCAACCAGTGCTGTCAGTTTGGCTACTCCCAGCCTATGTATATCTAGCACGTTCGAAAGAAAAAATTAACATTTCGTATATTAAAGATAACGGCATATATTTATTCAATATATTCATGATAATAAATATTTATTTTAAAAGGAAAATATGTTTGAAATATGTGTATAAAAGCAAAATACAAAGAAATTTAAGAAATCAAATAGTTAATGGCCAATTAACCTAATAATTAAAAATTAATAATAACGAAAAATAACAATACATATTTTCCACCATTTATGTTTTCCTTTTTTAAAGCTGTTTTTTTATTGTATTTTTTTCCAATTATATTTACTTTTAGCTTTTTTTTTTTGTTAAGAATCTATGTAGCTAAAGCCGGCAGTCATTGACGGACAACACTGAACTCAACATGTCGTATGCAACATGCTGCGCCATTGCGGGAAACATGCTTCCGTTTTCGGCAGCAACGCGATCTGAGAGCGTAATAAACCCGAAGCAAAAGCAACCCGACGAAAAATCCGAGAGGAAAAACTTCGCTCGTGCTTCATGTTGCTCGGGACCGGGACTCGCGCTGTCAACATGCTGCCAAGACGTGACCTTTGGCAACCGCTCGAGTGTTGCCAATTAATGGACCCCGTTGGCTGTATTTGTGTGATTTATTAGGAGCCAGCATAAATCCCGGGACGATTTGCCGCTGCCGCCGCAGGATGAACAAAAACACATGCATAATTTCCATAAATCTTTTATGGCTGCGTGTAAAAACTTTCGGCACGGCCAATTATGCGCCCCGAACTAGGCACTAATTTGACAGCAAAGTGGCCAAAAGCCTTTATCCGAGCGGGTCAGGTCGGTCACTCAACCCGAGGTCAGGTTCCGGCCCTCGAACCGTGTCCATAACTAACCCCATAATTGAGTTATCCCACCGAAGGAGCTTTGTTGTCGTCCTGCGTCGACGGGCTTATCAATGGCCTTCGAGTGCTGTCCCCTGACTGCTTCATTGTGCTGCCTGGGCTAATAGGCTGTCATAAGCCACTAGGTAATATGATGCAATTCTAATGGGCGTTTATAGGGATTAAGGCTTAATTCGAAAATAATTATGGGAATTGTTGAAGTGGGAGGTGCGTTAGGTAAATGTATAATATAGTAGTAAGAAATTTATTATTTATGAGTTCAACTTGTCAAATTTATTTGTGATGATGCTACTTAATTTATTAGTAAATTTATTTTTAAGTTTAATAATTAAGAAATATTTGTTTACTTTTATTTAATTTTATACTTCCTGTAAATGTTCCAGGGTTCTTTTCAAATATGCTAAGTAGTTCCAAGGAAACACGGTAAGCAATTAAATTAAGTACCTGGCTAATGGCATTTGATTCCTTATCTTTGGTTTAAAAATAGACGTTGCCTCTGCGTTATTCTTATATGATTAACTTACTCTGCTTATAACTTAATTGCCCTCGGGCACTTGGCAACATGACACAGTCAACAAATCATTGGGCGACATGTTTCCCAAACAATGGCAAAAGCTGGCAATATATACAAAGCTGCTGGCAACAACTCAACATGCTGCCTTCGTTAAGTGTTGCGACACAAATAATAAACGGCAGCATTTGTTGAGATATCTCAGTTTGGAAAAGAAAATACATACATTATTTTCAGTTAAAATATCCTAATGAAATAACGTAAAAGTGATTAAACTAAATCAAATCAAAATAAATGAATTTTGTATCTTGAAACATTTATTTACTAATAACTAAACCAAAAACTCATAAAAATAATTTATAATAAATTGTTTTATTCACTAATTTTCGAAGTCGAAAATTACTAATGCTCAAGATTAAAATTATTAAAGTTTTAGCCTCTAATACATGGCTATATATGTACTTTACTAAAGGTATCTGACATATTAAATAAACCGTTATATTTTTAAAACTGGAATGTTTTCTTGTTTCTGTGAAATACTCTACCCTTGATCCTTTTTCCATAAAATGGTGAATATTTAATGGTCACCTTGCTAACTGACTTACAACCTAAAAGCAGCAGCACCGCTCGATGGCTGGCTTTTAAATGGGAACAGATTGTCGCACATGTGACGTGGCATTGTAATGCAGTTGGCAAGCTGTTGCACCTCTAAGCCACCCTGGGCATTCCGATGGCAACACGGCCCTCCACTCGGCCCGGAGCATTAGCCTTTTATGCGCGGCCCCTGCTGATGCATTCCGCTCCTGCAGAGATGTTGCTGTTGATGTTGCAGCCAGGTGCCTCGCCCCGCGGCAACCTTCACACCTATGCACACGGCCACTTCCACTTGAGCGCTGTAGCAAAAGAAAAGCGCAAATAGGATCAAGGATAACAAGGGCATAACAAATGCAATGTGTTAGTGAGTAGCAGGGGGTGGTGGTGGAGGATGTGGGGGCAGAGAAAATGCTTTTAGAGCAATACTTGATGCCACCTGATTGAGTGGCAAATGGGCTTTTAACCCAAAACGGGCAGCGATGTCTAATTGAGGTATGGCCATAATTTATAAGAATTTATAAGAATTTAAAGTACCCAGAGAAAGGTAAGCAATATATTGGTAAGAGTATATCAATACTCAAAGAATTTAAGGATAAACAACTGCCTTTTCTTCTTCTCAGGCTGCACCTATGCACTCTCACTTTCATTTTCTCTGTGTGGCTATGACATTTGTGCATTCATCTTGATGTTGAACTGTGAAATTGTTTGCCAGGCGAAAAAACTTTGCTTATTTCGTTTTAATTGCTTCACTGTCGCAGGGCTCGGCGCTCACACAGATGCACAGAGAGGAAAACCCAGTAAATTGTGGCCATGTGGGTGGCGGGAGGCCCAGGCCCTTTGTGTGTGTTTGTGCTCATTAAAAAGCGAGGCAGCTACGCAGAAAAGCGACATTTGCATAAAATGCCAGACTCTCCGAGTGTGTGTGTGTATGGCTCCCGAAAGCTGGAAAAGCGTGCCACTGACACACAACTGTCACTCACACGCACTCGACGCACACCCACACAGACAATCAGACCTACGCAGAGACACAGACAAAGCCAAGTCAAAACTTGCAAATTTTAATGCATCACAAGATTTCAACAACTTCCTATGTCTCGCAATCCGAAAAATCATCACCAGCAGCCTCGCAGCTTGACGCTGGAAATAAAGAAAATCTCCAACTGTCATGTCACGTGCCTCAGCCTCCGTCCACGCCCTTTTCACATTCCCACCCACTCCCTTAACGGAATCTGCTGAGGGCTCATTAAAAGCGACTGCCGTTTTGGCCCCGGGGCTCTTCTTTCCTGGCCCTTGCTGGTCTAATGAAGTTTCCCCTTAAAAGGATAGCTCTTAACACTGGCCAACAGGCAGTTATTCCTAGGAGGAGTTTGAGAGTGAGTCAAGTATATATCTGTTTAGATTAAACTAAGGAAAATAAGTTAATTGAAATCTCAAATTTAAGGATAAATACCCTACAAAGACCCATGCATTTCCCTATCTTTGCAGCCTAGTGTGATCGGCACAGACCCTCCTTCTCCATTTCATTGACAGGCATCCCTTTCTGGCCGCCGATATGAGTGTTCTGTGATAGCTGCCGTTAAATTGTCGTTTCCTTTTTTACTCACCAAACTACGCCAAATGATTGACAGCTGGACATTGTGGCTGAGTGAATAACTCACAGGCTGACAGACTGACTGGCCGCTTGATTTATGGGGGCGTGTTTCGACGGCCGTGCTTTGGCGCTCAATTAAAACGGAACCAAAGTCAAAAGTCACCGAAGACGGAGCGGAACCCGACCAACCAACCAACCAACCAACCAAACGACATCGAACCCACTAAGTCCTAGCTGGCAATGGATTAACACATCTCCGGGGCAACTGCGACAACCCTCATGGCCAGGGCTTACGGCGGAGGCTCGGCTGTCATATAAATCAACCATAATCAACGCGAACTGCGGCTTGACTTGCCATAGATGGAGTCCGATACAAGATGCTGAGATAAGCTACACGGTGCGAAAATGTTACCAGGTTTAAGTACTTAATTGGTTATTTTTGAGTTCTTTAAATATAAAATTTTTATGAGAGTCAATAGTAATCTTTAATTTCTAGAATTGATTTGTTAAGCGATAATGATTTTCATTTAATTGTTGTTACTTTTTTCTCTCTGTGCAGGAGAGGGTGAGAGTGGTTGCGGGGCGCATAAATCTAAATTACACCCAGCCGCAGGGGGATTGCGGCCCAGGAACTATGAGGGAAAGTCGGCTCAAGATCCGAATCTCCCCGGGAATGATAGATAGTAAGGGGACACGGGGAGGGGAGGCTGCTGGTCCTCGTTTGCTTTGTTTGTCTGCTTGTTCAAAATGTTTTCTAATCGGCCAAGGAGCCGTTCACACCTCCCCGCATGAGGGCCCCTTAATTGCGAGTTATTGATGAGTCCCCGCCTCCCCAAAAGAAACTAAACATTCAATTTCCAGGCAACACCTTCCGCTCATGGCTCTCTCTTGGCAGTGTGGGAAAGAAATCTGTAATATGAACTGTCAGCAAAATGAACCTTATGAAAAGTCATTGACAGGAGCAACGGCAACAACAGCCACCGGGGGAGGGCTGAGCGAGGGTTATCCTGTGCCCAGGTCCTTCAAAAGGTGCGTGTGGGCGTCAACAGAAAAAAACGAGATGCAGAATGGGTGCCACAGAAACCAAGAGAGAGAGAGAGAGAGAGAGGTAGACAGAATCTCATTTGCGGTCATGTTGGCGTGTCAAAAGCGGACAACAATGACAACCTCAGGAGGAACCGGCAACCGGCAGAGGCCAGGCAACAACAAGGTTGTTGTCAGGCACTTTCAGACCATATGGCAACCATTTGCCTGCACACTATAAAAAAGGAAGCAAAGCGGAAATATTGTGGAAAGATCAATGACCTGGC